TGTCTTGGCAGAGTTATCATCGATAGTGTGGCTTCTGGGTTAGCCCATGTTTGGCTTCTTGGACGTTACTGATGTGCTGCCAGGTAGGGGTAATATTAAAAATCATTCATTGAGTGCACAGAATGCTTTATAAAGTCCAACATGCTGTTTACAGTTTATAAGTTAAGTGCCTTGGGAAAAGGCATCTGACTTATTCTCCAAGGCATCTTGTTGACTAGATTCAATAGGAATTCCTTGAGTTCCTGGGAAGGGACTACTTAGCGCTTCACACTCTCTGATTAGACCTAGGGTTTCATGCTTTTGTAATCCTAGTTTGGAGTGTTATCTAGTGGCAAGCTTTCTTCTTCGTGTAAACCTTTCATTTTACAGGCAATTCCTTTAAGAGAAGCTCTATGTTCTGTCATCTTTACCTCACTCATGCCTAATATGATTGTCTTAAATTATAGCAAATATCAAATAAATCTGTTACGCTGACGCCATTCCAATGTCATTATGTTTTATCTGCTTAACTTGATCTTCTTTGAAATGATGCATTGCATGTTGGATACAAATTAGACATTAAGGGAGCTTATTATCAACGTGTCCAAAAAATTACCCAGGAAAACAGCAGGTTGAGACTGCTTATGGCTACATGCACTGGAAGAGAGAATTAGAATAGGACCTATTTTTTTTCCCCAACCCTTAACTCTCATTTGTTAGCGCAAAATGAGAAGCGTAGTAGGTCCTCAATTAATAGGTGTTAAATAGATATTTGTTAAAGGAAGCCATGGGAGGCAGTACCTGCATACATTAGTACTAAAAGCAGTCGGGAGGAAATTTGGATACTGAAGCTCGACACCCTCTTGCTTGGCAAGCAGCCGAAGAATAAGACCACTCTTGGCACATGTCATTTTTATTACCCTGTAGCTGCAGTAACTTATATGAAACTAGCACTTTACCTTCTGCCAGGAAGAAGGTCAGCCTGAGAGTCAATTGATCTGTGGACACAACACCATCTCTCCCCCGGACACTGGGTCCTCTGTAAGCTCTGCTATATTATTTCCCTGAGAATGACAGGTGGAGAAATCTGGGCACCAGTTGTTCTTTTCCACTGGTATTGCTTGGAGGGTAGCTCCAAAGTCGGGCATGACAACCTACGTGCTTCTTCTGCTGGCAGAGGCTCCACACTGGGGCTATTAGAATGTGGGCTCTGTTCATCGGCCAAGTGCATGTCTCAGAGACTGGACCAGAGCATGGGGCAGCTCCAGGGCAAGACAGTCCCTTTCTCTCTCATTCAATCAATCAGTGGCCAGGTTGTGGTAGCATGGGATTTTATGTTACATGGTTTTAAAAATAGGAAAGCAAATAGGAATTAATTTTGAGAAAATGACAGAAGGTCCTAAAAGACAGGCTGCCATAAAAAGGGGTTCTTAGGTGATGTAAGTGTCTTTCACTCCTGATTTTCCTTTTGAACATGCACGCCGAACATTCTCATCAATGCAAGCTTGTACCAGCACGATGTTAATACAGCTCCATTTAACATTAGTCTTTTCTTGAGCATTATGCTTATTTCTTCTTCAACACAATGATGTTGGTTCATTCAATTTGAACACTTAATGGCAAAAAACTCCAATGTTATGTTTTAAGAAATTTCCCTTTTTGTTTTGGATGCTCAGTGAGGTCTATTACATATTTATATTGTTCCTTGAATTCTTATTTCAGAGTTTAATATAAAAACTGAACAAAAATGTCATGCTTTGTGAATGTATTGAAAAACCTTACTATTTAGTGATGAAGCAACATTTCCTCTCATTCTTTATACTTTATTATTACTTCTAGGTGCAGGTTATTATTTTCTTTGGAAAGAATAGCAGATAAAGTTAGATTTTGTGTGACATTAGCTATCTCTTTATCAGTATAAACTTCATAATACTTCCTTGCAAGAGTTTTTATTCACCTTTTAAGGGGGGGGGAATGCAGCCGTGCTTGCAATTCAGGATGAGGCTCATAGGTGGCAGTGGTGTACAAGAATGAAGCTGTCTACCTAGAAGTGTATTTCACTGAGACGAGCATGTCTTCACATATTTATAAGAAATAAAAATATAATACTATTAAATTACTCAAACTTGCACCAAAATTAAGCATCCATTAACTTAATTATTTTTAAGCCACACTGTCAAAAGAGAAAGTATTTTTTGAAAGAATCTATAAAGTACACAGTGAGAAGTCTTTCTCCTGTGCTCGTCCCCCAACTCCCACAAGTAAAATACTTTCTTGGGTATCTTTCCAGAGATTTTTTTGTGTAAATACAAATGAATAAAATTTATATTCTTATCCTTCCTCATTTTAACACAAATCAGTACATAAGGTTTTGAACACATCTTTATATAGTTGCATAGTATTCTACTGTGTGAAAGCTGTGTATTTTAACCAGTCCCCCACTGATGGATATAATGTACTGTTTCCAATTCAATGTTATGACAACCAACGCTGCAGTGAATAACCAGATGCTTGTGTGATTTCCTATGTAGGAGATTTCTCAGAAATGAATTTGCTGGGTCTAAATTACATACATTTGCAATTTTAATAGATATTGCTAAATTAACCTCTACAGAATTTATACCAATTTATACTGTGCTGTCTCCAAAATAGGAATATTTTCCTACAGCTTTGCCAACAGGGTGCATGATCAAGTTGGAATCTTTGTAAATCTTATTGGTTGAACAAAATATCTCAAAGTACTTCAATTTTCATCTCTTTTAAATGAGGGAAGGTGCCCATCTTCCATATTTATATTTCCTTTTCTGTAGAGAAAATGCAAATGCCAACAAATATAGCTCCACACATACATATATGTAGGGTTTTGTTGTGGATGCCATTGTTTATTTTTACCATCATGCCATACAAGTTTTTCGTTCATTTACTTTGCTCTTCTAACCATACCGCCTGGTCGTGGCTCTGAAGCGAAGCTGCTGGCAATAAAGAGGGAAGGACTGGGCTGAAATGTCTACTTTTCCCATCATCCTTTTGTCATGGACTCCTGGGGGAAATAAGTGTAGACTGGAGTGGTGAAAGGAGAAATCTAATAAATCTTTTTCCTGAGACTAATTAAGGCTTCAAAGAGACAGATAACCACTTGGGATAATTTAGTCGAATTGAAAATCAGAAAATGGTCAGTAATATTACAGCCACTAACACTGGAACCCGACCAGACTCTGTCTCTTTGAGCTGAAGTAGTGGTGAGTTTCAGTTTAATGTGCATGAGAAAACCTAGCATATGCAGCTGAAAAGAAAACAAAATATGCTCCTCTGCATCCTTTGCCAGTTTGGAGCTTTCAGATTGGGTTTGAACAATTTTAATGAGATACTGCCTTTTATCATGCACAAAAAGTAAGCGGTGTGCTGTATGAAAATGTGGTAGCCTTAACTTTAGGATTATCCTCTGCATGTAGAGATGGCAGTAACTAAATCCTTAAGTATCAAGCGGTGGCATTTTAAAGAGAGCGGGCACTGCAGACACCTTCTCTTGCAAGTCCCCGCCTCTATAGTTGAAGAAAAGGAGACTGAAACAATTTAGATGACCCGTGCGAGGTTCCATAGCTAATGGCAACGCTAGAGTCCAGGTAGGTCCCATATTACTGGTCCTGCAACTGATAGGACTTCCTTAAAAAATGCACATGCTGAGGTATTGCCATTGCTGGGGATACGCTGTTCTGAAGCAACCCTTTATCATACATCCCTTCTATTTGGGGTCACTTGCCCCAGACTCCTAAGGAGATAAGTGGGTCTGAGGCCACTGTATTAGAGCAAAACCAATTGACTTGTATGGACTTGAATTTCTAACCTTGATCTTATCAACACTGACTTATTTATTCAGACTTTTCTGAGTAGAAAGTTTTTAAAAAGTTGAATGGTAAACAAAACAATCAAGCTTTTATGTGAAATACCTTTGAAAGTTTTTCAGAAGCTTTAATTATCATGTTTCTTTTGTGTTGAATGCAATGTCAAGTCCCCCTAATTTTTCTAAATCTTTGAAAATATTTTGGATACTCTCTGCCTTCTGGTGTGATAAAAGGCATCAATATTTGGCCATATCTTGGGGTGGGGGGGTTGGTGAGGTGATTTGGGGAGATATTTCAACCCATTCCTCTTTCTAAGAGGAATGATTAAAAGAACAAGCAAAAACATTGTTGTTTAAAAGAATAAATAAATGGAGCTTAAAAAATAAATTAAAAAAAGAACAAGCAAATTTCAGGAAAACTGGTATAGCGTGCTCCCACTTTAATGAGTCTCTGCTCTGATGACTTCTTGCTTTCAAATTCTACCATGTGCTTAAGCTGCAAATACTCTGCCAAAGTATGTGACTGTTGGCAAATACATGTGTGTTGCCTTAACCACCCTGGAGGTCAGCTAGCAAAATGTGCATTTCAGATACAGTTTGTCATTGATGCTGGGTGGCATGGGGCTTAAAACAAAAAAAAAACAGGATGAGCCAAAGATCAGAATTGGAAAACCAGGTGGGTGGCTATGGACTTGGAAATGGAAAATAAGCTTCCTCGTGGGGCATGAGCTGTGTTCATCAGTGCTGACCTGTCTCCTCCCTAGCCTGTAAGCTAGTGCTGACACGAAATTTTATTGAATAACTGAATAGATACTCCTGTCCCCACCAGCCAGGAATAAGTGTGAGAACACCCAATTCAGTTATGTTGTGGCCAGAACTTCATGTTTAATCTACCATGGGTTCGAACTATTCTTGTTCCTAGGAACATGGTCTCCAGCAATCAAAGTCAATATATGTTTCCATAAAACCATTGTGTCTACCTCCAATGGTCATAAATATGTAGCATAAGCTATGGGGTGGGTAGAGGTTGGGATGGATGACAGCTTATGCTAATAACACTCTAGAAACCAATATTCTCCACTCAAAATGACATGGAAAAATTATACTCCATACCTCCTGGGTTCCATTAGTGTTTCTGGGTAAATGTTTCTAGGGGAAATAATTTCTGTTTTCATTCCAGCTGTGCAACAGATACTGTGATGATGGATTGCATGTGCAAAAAGTAAGACAGACTCCGGCATACAAAGGACAATGACAACAAGCAAGCTTCAGTCATATCCTGCCCTTTCCTTGAAAGGAACTGGATCCTAGGTGAAGACATTTCCAATTTTTAGTCCTCTGCCTCCCTCTGCTGTTCCTCTTGAGAAGTTTTTTCCTCACAACAATGAGAAATCATGTACTAGCTGCATCTTTTTCTATGCTCTCCCTGCTGGCACTAATGGGAGATACAGACAGCAAAACGGACAGCTCGTTCATGATGGACTCCGACCCTCGACGCTGCATGAGGCACCATTATGTTGATTCCATCAGTCACCCATTGTACAAGTGTAGCTCAAAGGTAAGACCAAGATGTCTGTGAGGATGGCATTACTTCTTGCAAACGAGAGAAGCCATCATTCTCTGTCAGGGAATGGAGAACAATGATCATATCCCAAACCTGATCTATATAGCTGGACCACCGGGCTTGTGGGGGAATCATGTTTTTAGGGTTTCCCATCATGCTCTACACTTTTGTCAGTAGAATCGCCTCATCAACTCTGTGCACGCTCAGCCACCTTCTCTTTTCAGGCTGCTCAATGCCAATAGGAAAGGCTGGAAGTTTCTCACAATACAGTTGTTGCTAAACATGACGTGGGTGTGTTTTGTCCCAGGATGTGAAATTGATGAGTAGTCGTGTCCTTTTTCAAGAAAGGAAAATGGAGTCTGCAAGTTATCATAACTCCTTCAACCTCCACCAGCAATAAAGAGGAAGAGAATGCAAGAAATATGATTCAGCAATGAAATGTCCTCCTTGGGAAACTCTTTAGACAGTTTCCTGGGTAAATAATTGGTCACTGGATTGGGGTCCAAGCTTTCCTTCACCTGCCATGTTTATGTTAAAATAATTCCAAAAGATAAATGGTGATCTGATCATTTATCATTTTGATATTGATTGTCCAAGTCATTCTTTTTTTTTAAATATTTTATTTATATATTTATTATTTTTGCATAGAAGAACTGGGGTGCAGGCCAGAGGTGTGGGGAGGGTGAGAGGATTCACCAGAGCCAGAGCGGGAAGCAGAACAGGCAAATTGACTGAAATACATTGCTGAGGGGAGCAGCGGGCAAGACGGGAGAGGTCTGCTGTGCCATGTGGGTAGCTCCCCAGCCGGAAATAGAACTCAGGCTATAATAGTGACAGCGTTGAGACTTAACCCCTAGGTCACCAGGGAGGTCCTCCAGGTCATTCTTATTAGGAGTAGATAGTATGTTTATTGCATAGGTAACCTATACCTGTGAAGCCTCAATGCTGAGATAAGGTATATGAAAGAATACCAAGTTTCTGAGACCACTGAAAGTGTCCAGCCACATGGACCACCTAGAAAGGATCCACACAATAGGGCAGAACAGATTGAGAACAAGAGTTCTCATGACTATCACTGTCCCCAAACATCCCCATGAATGAAATTTGTCCCTGTTAGTAAGAATTGTTTAGTTCAACCTCAGAGACTTTCACTTTTAGTCCTAACACTAAACCCACTTAAATATATTCATCTGGCTAATATTTTTTTAATTACCAGTATAATTAAGAATTTTTATAATATCAGCCACCAGAATTAAAACCATATAAGTTCATCTCACCACCCTCTATTTAAACTCTATTTAAAAGCATGACAATGTTAGTCTGCCTTTAAAAATTCCATAAGTTCTCTGGTTATAGCTCAATGACTTGTTTTAGTTTGGGATAATCAGAATTTGAGTTAAATCACTTTAACCATTATATGAATAATATCTAAGACTGTGGGAAAAAATAGAGACTTTCCACTTAAGAAAAACTTTCTGGCTCTTATTTGTATTTATAGAACTAAAAAAAGGAGTAAATAGATAAACTTAAATTTTTGCAAGACTGCACTCCCTTCTTAGGAAGAAAAAAAAATGAAAACAAGTTGAGAAAAAAATGGGAAGTGTTTTTACAACTGTGATTTCTCAGAAATCGTAAGCCTGAGAGAGGTTGACTGGAGCGATTATTAGCTGCTCCTCCCTTCCCCCCACAGAAGGAGCTAGCACGACTATTTAGTGTGTCATATTCCACGGATGACTTCTCCTTCTGTTGACTTGTCCCTCCATAAGCACATTTTTTGAAAGTGAATTAAAGTAACTTCAAAGAAACGGTGGATGTGATGATGGGGGGAACAGAGAAATAAGAGCATCTCTAAAACCTAGAGAACAATCTGGAAAGGTCTGGCGAAATGATGGAGGAGTGCCTTAGCAATTATCACATTCAAGGGAGGTCAAAGGATATGTCACTAGCTCAAACCTAACAAATTCACAGTACTTGAATGTGAGTGCTAGAAGTGGACTTTAACCTACCTTTCATCATCCTTGGTTCTCCCAGCATGCCACAGTAAATAACAGCACAAGGTTGTGATAGTAAGAGAAATGTTTGTAATTTCATGGGAACAATCTGTTTTCAAACATTCCAAACTATCCCAAATATAGCAATAGTTTTGTGTAAGTGGTGCTTGTAATTATAAACCTTTCTTTCTTGGCCACAAAACATGCCTGGCAGAATCTTAACCACCCAGACCTCTTCTGGATTAGATTTTCTCTATGTATCCAGGAACAAAAACTATTTTTCTTGTTGCAGTATTCTATAATTCTTAATTCTCGCAGACTCAGGCTGATCTTCTCTCTAATGGATCTCATTTAATGAAATTGCTTGCCTTTATAGACTTGGGATAAAACTTGGAGCCTGTATTTAGAAAATAGCAGTATGGGATTTTCCAAAGAGAAGACTAGGGTAGATTCTTCCTCTCTGCAAAAATTTCCCCTGAACATGATGTCCAAAGACTATTATTTACTACAGACATGCTTGCCATTTGCCTGTCAATTGTTACTGCTTCCTGCCTTAAATTTAGCTAACCCCGGGAAGGCAGATAAAGGGAATTACATGATCCAGGCTCCAGGAAGGGAAGCTGTTGTCATGAGTACCTGATATGGTCAGTGATCTGATCACTACCCCCAAATTTGTGATGGAAGACATTATCATTCCTATTTTACCCAGAAGGCAAACTGAAACCTGAGAGAAGTATTAAGTTGTTTGATCCATATTATTTAGCCTTGGAGAGGCAATATCTGCTTCTGATGAGCATTCAGCTTTTGATGACTTGGATCCTCATATTGGAGGTTTGCAAGTAGAATGTAGGAGCCACTGCTTAGAAGTGCAGGCTCATTCTCCAATCTACTGGATACTAAGATGTAGAATCAGCAATTTTTCTGGAAAAAAAGATTTTATAGTGAATGCTTTTCTGGGAGCCTTCCATAAGATTGTCTATTCCCTTTGGCTCTGAACTTGCCGCTGGCCAGATGGCCTATCACCCATCTCCTAGCAATTCAGGAGAAAGTTTAGGTGGTGTCAGGCAGCAAAGATCGACCAGAGTCATCCACCCAGGAGATATTGATAGATTAGGATGCAACTGGTAGCATTTCCATAGGGACAACTTGTAGGATTTACTACAAAAGATCCTGGGGGTGGGAAGTTCATTTATAATCTTCCCTGCAATTCTGGGTGAGTAAGGGCTGCAAAAAGTCAGTGTTTAGTGGAAATGAGTTGTCTGGGAAATCTTTAGGCAACTGGGCACCCTGGTCTTTGAAGTTAGAGAGGCCTGGTTTCAAAATCTAGCTCGCCAGTTTGCCGAATGAGTGATTTTGTTGGAAGCGAAGTGATGTTCTGTAGTGCGTCAATTTCGACCGCGAAAAAATGGAGCTAAAGGTGTGGGTATAGGTATTGGTGACAATATAAAGTATCCAACATAGTAGATCACAGACATGAACACATGATATTATGATCTTAATAATGAAGTTATAAATTGGACAGGTGTTTAAATTCACTTTTCTATTTTAGTCACTACCAACACTTCAATAACTCTTGGGATCTCCCATAGCCTTAAAGGATTAAGAAAATGAGCCTCACTCTGGTTCTTGTTAAACATAGAAACTAACAGGGCTGGGAGCAGGCAGTGTGCAGAAGAGCAGAGTAAATGCGAGCCACTGTGCTGAGTGCTAAGAGAGGGGAGGAAAGGGAAAAAAGAACCCGAGCCTGCTGTCTGGCCTCCCTTCCCAGGGGAGTGGAACAAGGATGGACTAGATAAGGGTGAGTTCTGGATTTAGGCCAGGGGGTGTTTTCAGGAAAGGTCGGTTGGGCCCGTGAAGTCTAATTTGGGCAGGACTGGGAGATGGTGGCCTCCGACAAAGGGCACAGATCCAATGCATATGGTTCTGAACTCTGAAGGGTCCCTGGAGTAGCCACAAAGAAGAAGAATGGGTCTAGGATAAAGCCTAAGAAAATTCCCAAGGAGAGGGGCCTGATGTGCCAAGGACTGAGCCTCCACGTTGGAAAGGAGTGGTAGGATCCCCCAAACCGTTTTTGACTACTATCCACAAAGTTCATCACTCGGTAGGGAAAACAATGGCAGCCGAGAATATTGAGCTATAACACAGTTACCTACTAGGGAGATATGACTTGATTTTTTTTTTTAATAAAAGGAACCTATTTATAAGGAATACCTGCTACATGCAGGCACTGTGTCAGTACTAGGGGCACAAAAGTAGAAAAGAAAAGACAGTCATTGTCCTCATTTTGCTTACAAAAGACTTCTGATGTCTGCGGGAGTGGTGAGGAGATTGAAAGCAGCAGATCCTGGCTGGGATTAGCTGAGCTTCCACCCACCCCTTCAAAGTTTTCCCTCACACCCTACTGTTTCATGCCCCTGCTTGCCATTTTGTTGATCCCCTCAGCCTGGCACAGACCCTTTTGAAGTTGACCTGGGTCCCTGGAGAGGAGCTGAACAGTCTTTTATGGAGAGTGCGGGTGAGGGAAGGAATGGGAGCAGCATGGGTGGGTATTGTTCCTGAGGAGAGAGGGGGTGCTCTGAGAGCGGCCATGAAATTAATTGAGAAAAAGGCAAAGATATCACTCCATTGGGGTAAAAGAGGCAAAACCGTCTCCTATAGCAGGACAGGTGGGTCTTTATTCTGGCACTGATGGAGACCTCTAGTCATTGAGTGCTAACCTGAGCCAGAAATTCCCAGGGGCCTTTGGTGATAGTAAGAGTCTTTGGACAAGGAATGAAGAAAAGCATCTCTGTTTGGGTTTTCTCTCTCTCAGAAGATAGTTGTGTATTGCAGCCAGAGACATAACTGTCTAAGAACTGTGGTGGGTCACCAGAGATAAGGGCCTGAAGTCTCTGGGTGCAATCCTTGGTCTGGACCCAGGAATCACAGCTGGCCACAATCCTCAAAATATAGTCTGAACTCACTCGTGACCTACTTGAGCATTTTATGAAATTTGAAGATTTGATAGACTGCCTGCCTTGGTCTAACAATATAGCCCTGTCACTGGGAGAGTGGGCTCGGGAATCAGGCTGTCTCGGTTCAGAACCCCCACTCTCCACAGTACAGCTGTCTCACTTTATGCTGGTAACATATCCTTGGCCTCCTAATGTCTTAAATTGTAAAATAGGAAGAGCTTACCTTTTGAAATAGTTGTTAAGGATCAAGCTGCCTATGAAGAGCTTGGCACAGTACTTGCTGCCTCTTAAATGTTCAATATAAGTTGCACATCATCATCATGATTATTCTTTTATTATAGCCCACGAGTCTTTTATTACTCTTAGCCTCAGCACATGGAAATCAGATTAAGGCACAAAGGAGTCTGTCCTTGAGCAAACATTGAACCTGGAAGCTCTTTTCTTATCAGAAGGAACTGGCTTGTACATCCCACTGGAGCCAAATGGCTCCAAGGTTGAGGGGATAAAAAGAGGCTGCTGGAGTTTCTTAGCATCAGGCCATTTGTTTGGGGAACACAAGAGAGAAAAAAGTTAAACTGGATCAAAGGCGGATAACATGTACCTGTCACTTGCTTGAGCTGAGAAGTCGGTGGAAGGTAATATGAGCAATTACTAACTGTTGTGCCCACTCATCTAACGGTGGTGCCCTCTGTGGATTCTCTGTCAAAAGAAGTCCATTTCCGTTTAGATAATGGAGCATGGTTATGATGTGTCCCAAAAAGCCCATAAGAAAAAGCAGACATGTCTGGCTCTGGTTATGATATGGTTTGAGTCAGATCAAAATAGATTAAAGAAGGGTGTAAATTGACTCATGCCTCAGGAAAACAACTTAATATCAGGAAGCAGGATATTATGATGGTTTAGACCAGAGGGTGGTTTTCAACAGACTTAGGTTTCATTCCAACTCTGCCATTTACCAGTAATATGGGTTTGGGCGAGTTATTTAAACTCTCTAAAACCACAGTTTCCTTGTCTGTAATAATAGTAAGATAATAATAGTGCCTTTCTCATAAGATTGTTATGAGGATTAAATGAGATTACATGCTGTAAGCACTCAATAAATGCTAGCTGTCACTGTTATTACTAGCTCAATGATCACTATCTAGAAATCCATCTAGACCAGAGCCTCTCAAACTTGAACAGGTCCAGAGTCTTTCTATTATAAGGATGGACACTAGCCCATCTGTACAGAGGGCAACTAGAATCTTAAGAGAAAGGCAGAATTTTTGGCCCTACCCTAGAACTACCCAATCACAATATACATAAACAATATCCATTGGGTTTACATGCACATAACAGTTTCAGAAGAATGGTTTGCAAGAAGTCAGGATGTGAAATGTATCACACTTCAGGTGAAACATGGCAGATACGAAAATGTAAGAGATCACAGTTAACCTGGATGGCAGATAATTATCCCTTCCCTTTCTTAATGGCACTCACTTATGGATCTTATCCACCAAATACCTGGTTTACCCTTTTAAAACACACACCAGAACAAGATTTTTATATTTTTTTCCAGTTTTGAGACGAGATCTGTATACTGGGACTCTCCCATAGAGAGTACTCATGTGTGTGTGTGCTGAGATCATCAGGGTCCAATAATTGTTTCACAGTTTTTATTTCGAGAGGTGGGTGTTTGGATCTGGCAGTGGAGTGTAGTTGGAATTTCATTAAGTAGAGTTATGAAAGAGGAAAGACATGAGCAAAGGGAAGAGGCAGGGAAATTTAGGGCAGTTCCAAAGTCATTAAGCTTGATGAAGCAGCAAGTGGGTGATGAAACTGAGAACAGTTGTAAGTAAGACTGAAAAGATACATCAAATCCAGATAAGGGAAGGCCTTAATCAAATACATCAAATCCAGATGAGGGTTGGGCATGGGCACCAGGGACTGGTCCATATGCTTCTGACCTCTGGTATAATCTTTTAAAATCTATTTCAGATCATGTTTGTTTGCCTATCACTGTGAAGAGCAGGCAAGATAGAACGGAAAAGCTTTAATAAAACCCAAAAGCTTTAATAAAACTGTTTTATAAAAAAAAAAAAACAGTTTACAGCTGCCATTTTCCTTCTGCCTCTGTGATCTTTCAGTGAAAATAAATCAGTTGGAAGGTCCAACTTATTCTCACCAAGGCCCACTTGTTGTTTCCTAGTATCTCGTATTCTCTTGCTGGTTGCTAAGAGATTGTTGGATTCATCCCAGCATCATCTCAGATAATGATGCTAATGATCTATAATTATCAGAAGTCAACCTCTCTTCCATTTGGAAAGATGGGCAGGCCATTTCCTCCTTAGTTGTTGGGTGTTTAATTCTGTCCTATAAGATGATGTCAGAGATAGTGGGTGATTTTTTCACAATAACTGCTAATTCCTAAAATATCATGAGGTAAATGTCAAATTGGTTTATACATATATATGTATCTTTTAAATGGAATAGTTCCACTTTTGATGTGCTCATAGGTTCCAGATCGACAGGACAACTTTGTCTCCATTACTTAATATGAAACTCACCAAGCAAGACCCTCTCACATACACATGGGCCAATAATCTCAGGTTGCCCCCACCCTCTGTGCCCTAATATATACAGGGTTTTATAACCCAATGTATCAAGCTGCCCACTCTACCCCACCCATGACTGCCACTCCCAGAATGCCAAGATTTATGTATGGGATATGTTAACAAACTCTGGTCCATTACCTTAAGTCCTATGCAAAATATTTAGTGTGTGCTTATGTCCATTGTTCTGGGGATAACCTTGGTAATTTGCATAATATTCTTAAATGAGTCTGTTGACTAAAGCCACATTAAAAGTCAATATAAAGAACATAGCCTCTGTTACTCCAGCCCAAACATTATTATCATCCTAACCTATCTTTGGAAAGGGAGATAGTGAGAATGAGTGTGTCCTAATATTGGTCCTAGAGGACTCTGAAGATTCAGTTCAACAAATCTCAGACTTTTCCACGTATAAGCCTCAGAGTGTGATTCCAAGGCCCAAACCATACCCAGTTCTGATATCATTCTTTTGCCTCAAATTGTAGCGCCCAGAGCATCTCTTCCTAGGCATCACTCAGGTGGTCCTGTTTTTCTTCTTCAGAAACCATATTCCTTTTCTCCAGCAACTGCCTACACAAAACCAAGTCCTTTTTTTCTGTATTCATTCTTTACTTATTCTGATTTCAATTTGGCATGATTTTCTGCATTTTAAGACTAGTAGAATTGGCAGTAGGCCATGGTAGACTACCACCCGTCGGAAGAAAATTTGCTTGTTCTTTGACTTTTGTTTGCACATCATGGTGCTGCTCCTTGTCCCGTGGTTCTAAAACCCTCAGTGCACTTCTGACTGATCTAAGAGCTTTGAAACCACAAAAGTCTGGGCTCTATCCCCAAGGATTTTAATTCAAACTGAGACGGGGCAAGGTTGTTGACATTTTAAAGACAAGATCGCCATGTGATTCCCATGTACAACCTGGGTTGAGAGTCACTGGCCTAAACGGGCAGGAATTGGAAGAGTATTGGGATTTTAATGTACTCTCCGGTACCTGGTTGAGACCTTGGCATCCCCACAGGGTAACTGCTTCTCTTCTCTCCCCAGATGGTGCTCTTGGCCAGATGTGAGGGCCATTGCAGCCAGGCATCACGCTCAGAGCCCTTGGTGTCCTTCAGCACTGTCCTCAAGCAACCCTTCCGCTCTTCCTGTCACTGCTGCCGGCCCCAGACCTCCAAGCTGAAGGCACTGCGGCTGCGCTGCTCAGGGGGCATGCGGCTCACCGCCACCTACCGGTACATCCTCTCCTGTCACTGTGAGGAGTGCAGCTCTTGAGACCAGCTGTTGAGTGACTTCTGGACGGCACGACCTCCCCACTCCCCCAGGCGGTCCAACCCACCAGAGAAGGACTGGCAAAACAACAGTTAAGGCAAAAAAAAAGATGCAGCAATTCCCACTGGATTCTGCATATTCTAGTAATAAAGACTTTACATGCTTGTTGACAGAGAGAGAAACTCTGGGAACTTGTTTTCCATTCCCATTTCTGTTCCCTGATACAATTTCTTTTGGTTCCTTTTCAGATTCAAACTTTTTTCCCCTTGGTGCTGAATGCTGTTTGCATTTCCAACAATTCAGCATTAGTGGAAAAGTGGGCCCCCACGCAAGAGTGGTCAGGCTGGCACTGTTTGGAGAAGACTAGGAAAGCACTCAGGTTGGAAAGCAGGAAAGCCCAACTCTTTTGGGGACATCACTTTTTTTTCTTTCAGTTTTGTCATTTGGTCTAAGGTCACCATTGCTGCTGAAGGTTAGCAATTTCAAATTCCAGGCACCAAGCATGTGGATATGTTTAACTGGGTTCACTCACAGCCAGCTAACAAACATTAAAATAACTAACAGGCAGATTCTCTCATGTGACGCTGGAACTCCTGATAGCTGTAATTATTATTCAGAAATACCTTTGGGGAAGTAAAAGCAGCATAAAGGACTTGTCACCCGAAGCCTTTCTCAGATAAATTATGGTAAAACTTTGTTAAGAGAGTAGACATTTAGAGACAGACACAAACACAGATCCTATACCAACTTTGGAAAAGGCATATATGTATTTGTGGCATGGAGAATGCACTATACTCATGCATGCAAATTAGACAACAAAGTATGAATTTATTTGTGGGTGTGCTATAGCTTTAGCCATGTTGCTGACGTCATTCTTTAACACCCACTTGTCCATGTGAAACTTGCTGCCAAAATGGTGGCTTGGCTCACATTCTGAACATTTGGTTCAAATATATTTTGGTCCTTGAACCTCAAAATATGAATTATTTCCATGTTTTGAAATAAAAAGAGACTTCAAAATTTTGTTGTGTAAGTATTGTATTTTCCTACTCATTGTAGGGTTCCTCTTAGAATGATGCATCCCTTTAATGTGGGAGAGGGTCCAGAAAAAGAGGGAGGGAGGGAGGTCGTGTTCTAGAAAGCATGGCGGGAACATTTTTTTTTTTTTTTTTTGCAATCAATATACTAGGTTGGTGGGGGGAGTCTATAAAAATTGCCTTTTAGTCTCAGAATTTAATTTGTGGAGTGAGCCCAAAATCTGATGCAGTCTGGCTTCCTTACTGTGGAATGAAATAAAGAAGTCACCTCCTTTTTAATCTCTTCACTTTTCTCAGAAGAGAATAAGTGTCCGTAAATGAAGTTTGGAGAATCAGAGGGAGAGAATGAATAGTTCACCAACAATGGCATCTGGGCTATTGACTGTTCAGTGCTCTAGGTCCAGGGACACTCCTGAGCATTCTGAGGATATTCATGGTGCTAGCACAGTGCTTTGTCCATATTAAGCATCTCAATGCTAACCCAGACTTGGCAGCTCTGTTTCCAGGGCAACCTCAACACAATGTTATCTGGGTTCACCAGAGATGACCGTGCACCCCACTGTTATTACAGTCAACCTGTGAATTACTTTTCCTTTAGAGATGATGATTTTGTATACTCTTTGGCACAGCTTTCACACATTTTTTAGAAAGTCAGCAGGGTTAAATTTGTATTTGTGGCTTTGGAACAGAATGAAACTAATGCTATTAAGCCTTGACCTTGATCTTAACTTTCATGGTGACAGAGTCAACCAGTCCACTAAATTGGAGGCTCTCCCCCTTCTGAATGCAAATTAGAAAATGGTAATTTGAGCCATTACATGAAGAGAAATTTTGTTTAAAAATTTTAAATTTAATACCTAAAGTTAAATGGTTATACTTCTTACTGATAATGAAAGTATTAACTGTTGGTCACATTTATAGCTATTCTTTCATGTCACTAATCAAGAAGTGGGAATAATACTTCCCACTCTAAAATAGCTCTTCCTAGTTTCAGGAACTCAATTAGCTTTGAGAACTATATGCCCTGAGCTCCAGTCTTTATTTCTTTACTACTGATTTGGGACTGGAAGGGTCAGCTATATGACTCATATTTTCCAAATTCCCTGAAAGTCACAGAAAATATTCCCTTCAAGTCCCATTACATGGTCTATTGTCAAAGTTTCCCCATGGAAATAAGCGGAATATGCTCCAAACGTTAGAGAATCATAGAACAGTGGCACTGGGAGGGCTTTTAAAAAGCATCCCTTTTCCTCTCTCTCTAAATAGATGAACAAATGGAGACCTGCAGAAACCCAGGAATTTGCCCAAAGTCACACAGTCTTGGATTTGGAACTAGAACCCAGACCTCCTGATCCCCACAGCCTTGGGTCCTTCCTCTTGCCCCTGTCAGTGAAAGAAGCTTCACTGTTCTCAGGATCTGGGATACTGACTATGCTGAATGGGCTGGCAAAGAGTGTGGTGAGACAGGGCAAAGTTTAATGGGCATATCAAGGCTGAGAAAAAGAAAAAGTTGTATTTTCCCTAAAGATCTAAAAATAGCCCTGGGAACAGAGAATTTAAGCATTATTGGATAATAGATACTATGGAATTTGTACTATATTTTTTACGCCAAAACATATTTAGTTTTATGTTAATGTCTGCCCCTAAGGATTGAGAGAGAATGAAAAATTTTCAAATGAAAATTTTGATCAGTTAAAGACAATCCTGGAATGCCTAAGAAATGTTTACCCGTCTTCCCCATTTGCCACGCATGGATAAAGGGAAATGAAAATATGTTATAATCCTAGTAGCTTACATCTTAAAAATCTGTGATAACCATTATGGAAGAGGGAAAACTCTCTCATAAACTGATCATACCTTCATCATTTAGAAGCATGTAATAATGTGTTAACTCTGCAGTGGAAAATAGAAAATCTTATGGACTGCATTGATCTTCCTGAGATCTCAGTTTCCCTAAATCATCTCTTAAGTCTTTTCTGTGTAAGCTCCCAGACTTTTCCCAGAATCTTAGAATGAAGGACTAATCAATCCTTTTGGTCCTGAGGAAATAATGGCTGGTTTTCTTCTATATGCAAGCATTTGCTAATCCTCACACATGATTTTGTATTAGCTACACAGGCTGAATACACACCGTGGTGAGAACTGTTTGAATAGAACCATTTATTCTTTGTGATCGTGAAGGAATGAAAGTACAGGTTTGCTTTCGGTCACTTCTTCAGGCCCTTTTGATAAAAACACACTTGTGTAAGACAGCTGTCCAAGATGGAACAATAAATGCATAAGGGATAAGAGTTTGAAAAATGTGAATCAAAAGGGGAAGCCATATCCTTCTGATGCTGCCTCTTCATGACCCCTGGACCCATCCACTTCCTAGTAGACAGACATTCCCACTCCTGTTAGGAACTAGAACAGTGGAGAAACGTGGATCTGGGAAGAGGGACTCTGCCCATCACTGTATCATTACAGCCCAGGAGTGTGTTGCACAGAAATGCCTGTCACAAAAACAAACCCAGCAACTACTTGTGAAACAGTGTTTTGTAGAAAACAGCATCACATGCCAACAACTCAATTATAGAGTCCTGTTTCCACTAAGTGCTCACTACAGTCAACCACTGCACAATGCAGGGCCACCAACCCTGCAGGCAAGTTGAAAATCCACATGTAACATTTGATTCCCCTAAAACCAAACTGCCAATAGCCTGTTATTCATAAATAGTCAACACATATCTTGTATGTTCTATGTGTCATATACATAGTCTTACAGTAAATTAAGCTAGAGAATAGAAAACATCACTAAGAAAATCACAAGGAAGAGAAAATGCATTGCAGTACTCTATTGTATTTATCAAGACTGTAAATTGACATGGGTTTATAAGAATGCCTGCAGACAAGTAGACCTGTGCAATTCACAAATGTTGTTCTAAGGTCGACTGTATATTGATGAATTGGCTTAGTGTAGTCTGCCATGGAGCTAGGAGGGGAAAAGCCTTTCCTTGCATTAGGTTGTAAGTGTAGTTCCAAATTTCTCATTGATCAAAGTCATTCTGTGCCCTCAAATATTAATGCCATCTTCTCGTGTGATAGACAGACTATTTTAAACGTGGTGAGTGGTGTGAATATGGACACTCACCAAGGAAGGATTTGTTACCTCCGATATCAATCCCCTCAGGGACTGCCTCAGCTGTACAGTCACCTTGCCCAAGGGCAGCTTTTTCTTGAGGTCGCTCTTATCCAGTGACTGACAGTGGGGGATGAAGATTAGAGGTTGCCTCTCTCAGCTGATGCAAGACAATTCTATTGTAGCAGGCAATCCCCCCTCCAGAGCTGTCCTTGGGTTGGCTGAGGCATGCTGGCCCTACATTTCTTTTTGCCCAAGTTTGCTTCCCTAATTGCCTTCCAGGGGTGCTGATCCCTAATAAATACCCTACACCATAAGCTCCATCTCAGTGTCTGACTCCTGGGAACCAAGTAACAGTAACTTGATTGGCCTGTAAAAAAAACACAACAAAAACCAGTATATCTAAGCTTTCTAGTTCATTATATGACCATAATATTTAGGGTTCAAAGCAATGTTTCTGTTCACTTTAATTGTGTAGTTTAAAAACAGGTGCTAGTGGGCCTCCCCTTGTGGCACAGGCTGTTGAGCGCTATTCTGTGAAGCTGTCTGCAGCCTCTGCAGGGTCGGTTCGATCCTGGCTGGCCGGCGAAAATCCCACATGGCGAGCAGACCTCTTCTGTCGCACCCGCTGTTCCCCTCAGCAGTGTATTTCATCAATCTGCCTGTTCTGCTCCCCGCTCTGTCTCTGGTGGTGTCCTCTCACCCTCCCGCACATCTGGCCTGCACCCTGTACCCCAGTTCTTGTATAAATAAATAAATAAATCTTTAAAAAAGAAAAGAAATACAATATGTGCTCAAGAAAAAAAAGCAGGTGCTAGTACCTACTGCGTGTCAGCTAGAATGCTGAGTGAAGGAGATCTAGAGGTGAAAAAAACAGCCTCGTTTTTAATATGTGCAGAGGCTAGAGAGGGCGAGAGATGACTGTAATAAGTGCACTGATGACTAATAGAGATAATCCACAAAGCAGATGATCTTCTGTGCTTGGATTTAAAGTGACCATTTTAAAGTAAGGAGATAGGATTTTTAATAATAACATTACCATTTGTATAGCACTTTCAGAGACACTATATCATTTGATTTTCAAAATAGCCTTATGAGGTATACTAATTATTATTAAAAAAATCTCACAGACAAAAATGGGAGGTTTCCTCCTAATGTCAAAGTCTGTGCTTCCTTTCTTATTCTAAAACAGCCTTTTTCTTTTATTCTAAAGCTTGTGAACCGAAGGAAAGGACCAACAAACCACTTCATATTGGTATCGGCCAGTTCTCATTAGCAAACTGTGATCCCAGAATGTGAGGAACTTGTTGGCACAAAGCATACAGGAACTTGGCCTGATAGAAATTTAGAGAATATACTATTCAATATAAATTCATGGAGAAAATAAATGCATTCTAAATCACATATGAAACTAAAGTTGTGCTTTACAGTTTACAGTCCTACGTGGCTGTAATCTTTTGAATAGCTTCTATATCCCAGTGTTAAACAGATATTCCAATTTGAATGATTTACTTAAGAGATGTTGACAAAACAAACCCTAGAAGTCTGACTGTAGAATTGAAGGTACCAGAGGAGGAGGAAGATGTGGATGAGGGGCTCTTGGGGGTAGCCCAATGGACTACAGTGAAGGATTATATGCTATGGAAATAAAATTAAAGATGTAAGTTCTCTTCTTATAAGAGATAACCCTGGTTGCGACCCATGGCGCAGGGACGCGCCTGGCAGATGCACCATATTTAAGATGGAATTCTGTGCCCTTCCAGACCTCACCAAAGCTGTTGTGTGGAACTGAAAAAGGGCTGTCCCCACAGTCAGAGGTGAGCTGAAGGCGCCCACAAGCCAGGCTCCACTTGGCA